TTTTGACACATATTGTAGATGCATCAAAGGGAAAACGAGGCCTCACCAGCTGCAGCTGCAGGATTTGTTTCGTTCAGCATTTAAATGATTTTCTATGCATTACAGCAAATTGGATTGGTCAAGTTTTCTTTTCTTTGTGTCGTTGCTGGAACAGGCGTTTCCTGTGACTTCTTTCCGTACAAGGCATTCAGTGGTTGTCAACCTGTGAAATGTCTGTAAGGATGGCTTCCAAAGAGAGATCAATTTTCTGAAATTTTCTCTGTTGGATGCATGTGGCAAAGAGTTTCCAACCGGTTTTGCAGGAGACATCCAGAAGCAGCCATTGCAGTGAGGCTTGTCTGGGCCCCAGTTGCAAGATGCCAGATGCAGGATGTGGCTTTTCCACACGCACTGTTTGGCATTTTTTGGCAATGTTTCCATTTTTTTGCCTTGCTTGCTGTTTAATAGGAATTGCACCCTGGCACTCTGGCTTTGCACATTGGCTTTGAACATGTTTGAGGCTGTGCCCCGATGTTCTGCATTCACAGGAGTTGTGAGCTCAGATTCTTGATCCAGAGTCATGTCAACAACTGGCAACTGACACTCATTTTTCATGTCTCATTTGACCCACTTGCACCTGAAACGCAACATCGTGCAGTTGACTGTGTATTTCCATTATTATTGTGCAGTTGACTGAATTGTTTTGCAGATATTCTTCAAGCCGTTTGTGACAGAGGTCACCATCCCTTGCAGCTGTTTCCTTCCATATCCTTCCATTTCTTGGCAGGCCTGACATGTTTGATGCCTGTTTCTTTGACCCCTTCGACTGCTTTGACTGACATCTTGATGCATTTGGCTGCTTTGGGTTTTTCATCAGACAATCCTGTCAGGCATGCGCTTGGTCACTTCCCCCTTGTCAGTTGTCCGATGTGAGTTGTCAGATGTGAACTAGCAAGGAACTCAGCAAGGATTGAGATTGCATTAGCTGTGGTTTGAGCTTTCTGTGGTCTTCAAATTTGTGCTTGACTTTGTCTCGGAAATGACTGAGTTGTCTTTTAGCTCCATTGCTTCAAGTGCAAATTGTGTGTCATGCCTTGGTTTCTGTTCTGCAGGAGCATTTTGGTCATGGTCAAAATCACGACTTGGATATCGAAACTGTCTTCAGTCCAGGGCCCAGTTTCCAGTTCCAGTGATGAATCCACCATAATGGGGAGATTGCTTCTTCAGAACTGCCAACTTTGACCCCTTTGATTTGTGTGGCTCAAGTTAAACTAAGTTGTCAAGCTCCTTTCTTCTTGGATATGACCCTGCCTGAACAAGCAATTTTGATTCGGCAGCCATGGGTGGACCGAATTTTGGAACCCAATGAATGTTTTCGGAAGACTTGGGAGATAAGGTCGTTTGCCACGCAAAAACGTGGCAAATTTGCAGTCGCAGTCGTTGGGGAGAAACACATTCTCGGTGAAGTTGAGCTCACAGACTGCTTTCAAGTCGCCGAAAAAGTTGATGGCTGTTGGTGTCCGGTGTCAGATGAGGCTCCCTTCCTCTTTGATCCTGACAATGCAATAAAATGTGGCTTCGACATGGAAACAATGCCAGATTACTTTGCAAGCAAAAGCAAATTGTTTGCATGGGTGCTGCGCAATGCTCGCCGGTATGACCAGCCTATCAAATGGTCAAAGAAAGATGGTGCTGTGGTTTTTGCCAATGTTGAGTCTGACAAGAGCAAGAAAGACAAGAAGACCGACAAGAAGCACAAGAAAGATAAAACCAAGTCGGTGAAAAAGAATGAGAAGCCATGAGATGTCAGATGCCAGATGTCTGCAATGTGTATTGTGGATGCCAGATGTAAATAGTTTTTGTGTCAGATGCCAGATTTTGTGTGGCTGGATGCCAGATGTAAATAGTTTTTGTGTCAGATGCCTTGACAATCATTGCTGCACTGCTGGGTGTCAAAAGCTGGCAGGCTGACCTTCAGTTTGCAAAATCAAGCCACGTTCAAGTTCAGATGTCTTCTTGTGTTTGTTGCTTACTGTGATACTGGCTGAGGCAAAGGACTTGCTCTATGACCTTCTTTGTTTACAAGGCATTCGGTGGTTGTCAACCTGTGAAATGTCTGTAGGGATGGTTTTCAAAGAGAGATCAATTTTCTGATTTTTTTCTTTGTTGGATGTACGCGGCAAAGAGTTTTCCAACCGGATTTGCAGGAGACATCCAGAAGCAGCCATTGCAGTGAGGCTTGTCTGGGCCCCAGTTGCAAGATGCCAGATGCAGGATGTGGCTTTTCCACACGCACTGTTTGGCTTTTTTTGGCAATGTTTCCATTTTTTTGCCTTGCTTGCTGCTTAATAGGAATTGCACCCTGGCACTCTGGCTTTGCACATTGGCTTTGAAAATGTTTGAGGCTGTGCCCCGATGTTCTGCATTCACAGGAGTTGTGAGCTCAGATTCTTGATCCAGTCCATGCCTTCGCTGTGCTTGGCCGCAAATCACGTGTCTTTGCTCAACAGTCATGTCAACAACTGGCAACTGACACTCATTTTTCATGTCTCATTTGACCCACTTGCACCTGAAACGCAACATCGTGCAGTTGACTGTGTATTTCCACTATTAGTACAGTTGAGTCACTGAATTGTTTTGCAGATATTCTTCTAGCCGTTTGTGACAGAGGTCACCATGCCTTGCAGCTGTTTCCTTCCATATCCTTCCATTTGTTGGCAGGCCTGACATGTTTGATGCCTGTTTCTTTGACCCCTTCGATTGCTTTGACTGACATCTTGATGCAATTGAATTGGCTACTTGGTGATCTTTGTTGCAGCACCTTTGCTCTGCACAAGCGGTTTTGGGTTCGCAGTGATCATGGCGGTGATGAAAGTTATGAAGAAGCCAGCTTCGTTGAAACCACCTAAAAAGAGACTTGGCAAAGCTGTCCTGAGATGTTCCGTTCACCATGCACACTACTGTTTTGGAATTCCATTCTTGGGTTTCACAGGAAAAGCACTGGTACACTGAGCTTGCCTGATGTTTTGCTGCCAAAGTTGAAGAAGTACAAAACTCTGTCCAAGCAGCGAAGACTCTCATGGATTGACTCAGGTGTCTCGCAGTAACTGTTTCGTTGGTTCTATAACTCCAGTGGAAAATGATTCAGTGATTGGTTTGGAGCTATGACTGTCTTGTCTGCAGCTGAGTCTACGAACATCGCATCTTTCCAAGTGGGTATCCTGCGAGAGATTGGGATGTCCAAGATGTGCAGTTCTCGAGACTTGGTTATGGTTTGTTGCACTTCGTGATTTGATCATCATGCTGATTTCACATGGTTTGTCCAATGCCCGTCTGAGGATCCGTGAACATATTGACTACACTGCAGCCCGCTTGCACACGACGGCAAGGTTTCTGAGGACACTTGGATTTGTGTCATGTCCTGTCAGACACACTGTGTGGCTCCATGACTTGCTTGGAGGACGGACATCTATTCGCTACCCGGTGCAATGGTGACGGTTTCTTGTGTGACGGTTTCTTGTGTGACGGTTTCTTTATAGTGTATGGTTATTGTTTGTCTCTCAGGTATTGCGAGACCTTTCGCAACAAGCCTGGCAGATCAAGGGCTGATCGAGATGAGAGGGGTAAGTTGAAGTTCATGAGGGAGGTGTTCTTTGTTCTGCTTGTGAGGTACAACTTGCGTGATATGCAGCTTGTTTTGCAACAGATGTTTTCTGTGTAGAAATGTGTTGCAAATCATTTTCAGTTCAATGCGATGATGCTTTTCTGAACCTGAAGCGTCACTGTGTTGCTGCTGGTTTGAGTGCAATGTCCAGTAGAGTCAGGTATGGTGATGATGATGATGTGTAGCTGTACAAAGTTGTGGATGCCAGATGATGCCAGATGGATCAGACAGTTGTGGATGCCAGATGATTTCAAAAATTGAGCGGTAGAGTGCAGTTGTGGATGCCACATGATGCCAGATGGATCAAACAGTTGTTGGTCTGCTTGTTTTCCAGCCTTGTTTGCCAGGAAGATTTGTCAATTTCCATTCTTTGCCAGGAAGAAGAACCTCCAAAGTGGACATCTCAGTTTTCCACTGATCTGTGACGTGCATCATGCCTTAGTTATAGTTTCTAGCATGAACTCCAGCAGTTTTGCGCGGACTTGACCATGACCATTTTCGACACCTCAGACCTCAGGTTTGGTTCTGTCCATGAAGCAAGTGCCTCCAAAGTGGACATCTCAGATTTCCATTGATCTGTGAAGGACATGATGCCTCAGATTCCAACATGATTTCAGATTCAGTCTTGCGCCCATCCATGCAACAGCATCATGGTCCTGCTGAGGTTTGGTTCTTCGATGCAGAAATCAAGTTGATTTCTTTCAGCTGCTTGAAGCCACCGTTCTTTTTCCACCTGCAGCATCCTGCGGCTTTGCCAATTTGTGAGTTGCTGGTGAGTCCTTTGTTAGGAGACAAACATGTGCCAGATGCAAGATGCTGGAGAAGAGGCAGGACTCAAAATGCATTTGCTGTTCCAGGTTTCCCTTCTCTGCTTTGTAGTTTCAGAATCAAGTGTGAACTTCAAGGCGGGAACATTGCAGCAGATCCTGCTTGTTCAGGCTCAGTCAGGCGGTCCGGGGAATCAATTGAATGCAATGTTTGTTTTGTGGCGGTAAAAGCCACTTCCAGTTGTCCTGACCCCTGCATTTCAGCTGAATTTCCATTCTGTGTGGAATCAGGTCTAACATGGTCAATGGTTGCGAGCAGCTCTTCATGGCCGAACTGACTTGTTTTTGCATTGCTTTTGCTTGCACTTGGTCTCATTGCTGCTCCTTTCGCCTGTCATGAGCCTACCACTGCACTGTTGCCATTTTAGATGTCAGTTGCTGGCATTCCCTGTCATGTGTTCTGATCAGAAAAGAGGCAATTATAAACGCCATTTTAACATTGAGAAGCCATCAAGACTTGCACAACATCAAAACATTCGCTATCCATGTTCCTATGACAGAAGTCTGCTCGATCACTTTCAATTCAAGCCATGTCAGATCCGAATCCGTGGCCCAGCAAGTTTCAGCGCCAATTGGACCTGGCCAACAAGCAAATCTCCATTGTCTCATGGGGCATCGACTTCCGCTACCGCGTTGGGTCAGGTTACAAGCTGGGGCGTGAATGCGTGCCATACAAATTGATCCAAGAGTTTGGTGATGCTGCAATTATCCAATCGGATGTGAGGTCAACGTGGAAATCAGACCCCAATGGCCAGTACACTTTGGAGGAGATGTGCCAGTCCGATGAATGCAAGGAACTACTGGGTCAGTGGCTATCCACAATTGCTGGATGGGTCCAATCATCCACAAACCAATTCTTGGTCCTCTCGATCACTTGCTCCTTCCAATGCACTAGCTCTATCTTTCAAAATCAATGGTCAACATTTCAATCTATTTGAAAATCAATCTTGCAAAGTCATTGCCCCAGTGCCTCAGGCTCCAAAGGCAGGCATCGCTCTATGACAGTTGCCTCTTGCCTTGCGTGGATGCTGGATTGCGCTTTGTATTTGCCTAGCTTGGATGACCGCGGGAATCTTGCTTGCAAGAAGCTGATGACATCTCACATCTATCATCTGACAGCAGCATCTGGCATTTATCATCTGACAGCTTCTGTGGTGTTTGGTAATCAGTTGCCTTTGAATCTTTGCTGCCTGCTAGGATCCAATGCATTGGAGGGGCCGTCTCCCACAATGAGGTGGAGGACTTGGGTGTTGCAATCCAGAACTACCTAGAGGATACCCGGCTGTATTGGCTAGAGGATTTGCGGGCAGCCAATGCAGACCTTGAACAGTGCCTTAAAGCCACACCCAAGCAGACTCAGAAGAAGGATGACGGACCTGATGAGTGGGTACCATGGATGCACTTGCCATGGATGCATTTGCCATGGATGCACATCATTTTCACGAATGCGCAGTTGTTGCCACTGGACATCCCTCAGGTGAGGCAGCAGCTGCGACAGGAAGTGCCTGCCTCGTTGTGCTGTATCTTGGCTCAACTTGTTTGTCTGTTGATCTGGTTGTTGTCAGATGCTTTCAGTGGGCCCAGGCATGTCTGAACCTGGCCATGTACAATGACGAGGGCAGGGACTATGCAAAAAATCAAGCGACGAAACTGGGCCGACCCTTTGCTTAAACTTGCTTACTTGGCTGTCTGCCTTCTTTCCAAATTCCAAGGTTCAGAATTTCAATGTGATGTTCCCGAACTTAAGGTGAACTCACTACAGACAAACAACTGACGGGGCCGAATGCAGCTTCCAAAGTGGTGATGTGCCATGTCAATGAGAAGCTCGGTTGGATCCGGACAGATTCCTCGAACTATGACTACTACAAGAATTTCAAAAGGTCCCGGAATCACGGTCAGAGCTGGAGTTCCAGGTGAGCTGTCCCAGCTGTCCAACTTTTCAAGACAGCAAACCTGAAGGAGATGACCAGTGTCAGTTGTCTCAAATGTTCGCTGCCAGATGGATTTTTTCACTCAGCAACTGAATTGATTGCCTGAGAAACAAGGCAGTCTACAATTGGTCTTTGCAGTTTGTTCTGCAAATAACAGACCCATTGGAATCGCCAAGAAAAAATCAGCTGCAATCCAGAGGGTCAGTTTTGTCAAACTTGTCATGATCAAACAGTGGCCACTTGGTGTGTTTTTTGATGTTTTTTGTCATTGCCCTGTCGCAAGCCAGGCTTGAACCTCTTTACTCCGTGACAGGCCTGGTGCAAGCCTGACATGCTCTGTGCAGTCTTGACTTCCATGTTTTTTGTCATTGCCCTGTCGCAAGCCAGGCTTGAACCTCTTTACTCCGCGACAGGCCTGGTGCAAGCCTGACATGCTCTGTGCAGTCTTGACTTCCTTTGACTGGCAGTGCATCCACAGGTGCAGATGACAATGAGTTGTTGTGATTTTGTTGCTGCTGACAGGCTTGGCGCACAATCGTCCAGGCACAGCTGATAGCCAATCAACTGATCAGATTGTGTAGCGATGTTCAACTGATTTCAAGAGTCATTTGCAACAGCTTCCTGCTGCACTGCTCATGTGCATCGTGAGCATCCAGTTTCAAGACCAATCTTGCGTTCGCTCCTCCACTAAATCTCGCTCAATGGCAGGGCAAGCGGCTTTCGACGCTGTCTTCAAGGACAGGCTGCCTCAAATACAGCCTGAGATAGCTGAGCCATCTGGCAAGCCTTGTGCTCTGAGTTGGAATCCAACAGCAGAGGAAGTCATGACCCCAAGCGCAAGTCAAGATCTACGTGGAGAACTTGACTCTACAGAGAAGCGTCAGATGTCCTTGTGGGAAGACCTTGTGCTACAGGCAGATCATGCTCAAGCTCCTGGCAAGCAGGAACCTCTGCATCTGGAAGATAAACCCAGACTGTTGGCCATTCAAGACTTTGATGCAGTGGCTGAAGAGAGCCAGCAGATCGGTGAGGAGAACTTGGCCATGAAGAATGCTGCAACCTCACCAAGAGATGATGCAAAGTTGCCAGATCCTGTTGTGGACACGGTGCCAGATGATGACGTCAAGATGCCAGATGATGACGTCAAGATGCCAGATGAAGGAGGGAAAAAGCCAGTTGCTGATGGAGGTGCGTTGCCAAAAAGAAAGGAGCGAGCTTCTGATGCTGATGATGAGAGGTTGGCCAAACGAGGCAAATCGACTTTTGCCAGCAAGCCTCCGCCGAAGAATGAAAAGCTCTTGATGATCTGGGAGGCCATTGTTGAGGCGTATGATGATCTCATCAAGCCTTTTTTGGTGCACCCATCCAAGTCAGAGCCGAGCTTCTACAAATTTTGCCGAGAAAAATGGGAGGGTGTTGAGAACATGACGAAATCCGATTACTATGGGGAAGCCAGGTTCTTGAGTGGAAAATGGTTGGAGCAGAACAAGGATGCAGTGCCCATGAAGATGCCCTTCCGCAACAAGTGATGGACACATGCTGATCATTTGTAATGGTCAGATGTTTTTGGGGTTCAGCATCTGTAGATGCAGCGCATCATTTGCGGAGCAGGGAAGAAAAGGTTAGCCTTGCGTGCCCGTGTTTGTCACAGCTCCCATCCTTAGGAGAGTCGCTCTTTGTGAACTGGTTATGTTTGAATTGTAATTTAGTGTTTGGCGCTTGAATTAGTTCCACACCATCGAAGTTTGTGGTGATGCCTTTCTTGCATTTCTTCCTTTATTGCAGCTGTGTTTCCACCTGCCCTGATCTACTGAGGGAAAATACAGTTGCAAACTCGGTGATGCTGATTAAACAAGGTGCACCTTGCAACTTGTGTTTCGAAACAGTTTTTTGATGGCTCAAGATGACCGAATCAGAAGGCAGCAGTGTGTCAACCTCTGAGCCAGAGGCGGCACCATCCCGCGGTCGTGGTCGTCGCGGTCGTGGTCGTCGCGGCGGCGGTCGCAGTGGCGGTCGCGGTGGCGGTCGCGGTGGCGGTGGCAGCAGTAGCCGTGGCCATCATGGCGGCGGTGGCAGCCGCGGTTGTTCTGATGGGTTTGCCGTTGACAGGTCTGCCAGCGAAGCTACATCAGAGACAGAAGAAACAAAGAGAGTTCGACTACAAGAAGTGCAATGGAAATGCCGAAAAGGTGAAAAACGAGAACACAGTGAAGGTGAAGCCAGTCCTGATGCGCCTTCGAATCTGATGAGGTATGTGACTTGGATTGTGGACAAGCTGGACTCGAAAGATGTTGATTGTTTGCGGGCACATCACAGTCAGCACACATTGAACATTGGTGAGCTCTGCGCTGGGATGGCAACGGGTACCATAGCTTCAAAAACTTTGGAGTCCAAGATCACAGAGATACATGGTTTGACAGTTGCTTGCCAAACAGTGTTCTACAGTGAAATGGTGGCATGGAAGAGAGCTCTTTGCCAGGAAGTGCATAAGAGTTGTGGTGGAGAGCATGCCGCACCTGCACTGTTCAAATCAAGGACTGCAGAGCTGAATGGGTCGAAAGAACCAAAAGTAGACCTTTGGATCGGAGCCATCGAATGCGATGATGTCAGTCCCCTGACAACCACTCCTCGCTCCATTTTGGACAGAGAGGGTAGAAGCGGCTCCAGTTTCATGGAAATGCTAGACGTATTGTCTTCATGTGGCATGGATGCAAGACCCCGCTTCATTATGCTGGAGTGTGTGGCTGCGCTGGACAAGCTGCGCAAGGCTGTCAATGAAAAAGGAACGAAAGTTGCAACAGACAAACTGGCAGAGCTAGGATACGCTGGATCATGGAACCTGCTCAACACTCGTGACTTTGGGCTCCCCCAAAGCAGGTCAAGAACTTACGGTGTTTTTGTGATGCGAAGTGCAGGGTTCGGCATGCATGGCCAGGAGATTCACATGAAGCAGGTGCAAAGAGTTTGGGATTTTGTGGCCAGTTGCAAGATTGACAAGCCAGATGTTCTTGCCAAGTTTTTGTCAGATGCCAAATTTGCGATGCTTGCTGATGAGATGTCAGATGCCAAAAAAAGAAAGAATGACAAGAAAAAGGTGGAGAACAAAAACAAACCCAAGAAACCACCTGTATGGAAAAAACAGCATGCTGCTTTCAAAGAAAAATGGAAAATTGCGGACTCAGAGATGAAGACCAGAGTTCAGAAGGCATTGGTGCAGCAGAAAGACAAGTTGAACCTCACTGAGCGGGAGGTTGAATGTGCAATCCTGAAGTTGGCCCTGCACATGCGAAAGAACATCAAGAACCCTGTGGACCAGGATTGCCTGGTTGCAAACATTGGGGACTCCCTCAACTATGTTCGTTTCAACTCCACCTGCCACCCTTGCCTTCTGCCTACCAAGAAATATCTGTATATATTTCAAGGCCATTGCTTCACCAACTCCAATGTGACTGGCAACCTCTACTTGCGGTTGCAAGGACTTGGCCCAGAAGAAGTAGAGAAAGCAGGTCTTGGTGGACTTGACCAAAGGCAAAGTCAGGAATTGGCCGGCAACGCTTTTACTTCAAACATAGTTGCGGCCATTGTTCTGGCAATCTTGGTGAATTGGAAGTAGCACCAAATTCAGAGCAGTGTCCCGCAGTGCCAAAAAGGAGCTCAGCATTGGCAGAATAGGCTTTTATTGTCCTTAAGACTGCCTTTATAACAGAGTTCTTGTTCCAGGTTCCTGCTGTACTGTAAGGCCTCCATAGACTCGCAGATTGGCCCTGAAGCTTGGCCCTAAGCAACTGGCACTATGCATCTAAGCAACTGGCACTATGCGTCTGATTTTTTTGCTTTGCTGTAGGTCTGGCGTTTTGGTTTAATTATCTAGCAGCTTCACTTTCAAGCATTCTTTGGCAACTGGCTATGCATCTGGCAACTGGCCCATTGAGGCATTTGCATTTGAATCTGATAACTGTGCATCTTCAGATTCCACCCAGTTCTTCTGGCAACTGACCCTCAGGCATTTCGATTTGAATCTGGCATCTGGCAGCTTGGCCCTCAGGCACTCCACATTTGCATCTTACTTTGACTTTTCTGTAGATCAGGGACCGTGGATTACTGTTCAACAGCTTGATTTCAGGCCATTTAATCCAGGCAGCTGTGCACTTGGCAGCTGGACCCTCAAGCCCATTTGAACCTATTTGATTTCTATTTTGACATAAACCTAGGATTTGGGGTTGCCGTAGACCTGGGGTTTCGGGTTGCCGTAGACCTGGGATTTGGGGTTGCCGTAGACCTGGGATTTGGGGTTGCCGTAGACCTGGGATTTGGGGTTGCCGTAGACCTGGGATTTGGGGTTGCCGTAGACCTGGGATTTGGGGTTGCCGTAGACTTGGGATTTAGGGTTGCCGTAGACCTGGAATTTGGGGTTGCCGTAGACCTGGGATTTGGGGTTGCCGTAGACCTGGGATTTGGCGTTGCCGTAGACCTGGGATTTGGGGTTGCCGTAGACCTGGGATTTGGGGTTGCCGTAGACTTGGGATTTGGGGTTGCCGTAGACTTTGCTGCCAACTGCCAACAATCCTATGGCAACTGGGAGTTGCCGTAGACCTGGGATTTGGGGTCGCCGTAGACCTGGGATTTGGGGTTGCCGTAGACTTGGGATTTGGGTTTGCTGCCAACTTCCGACAATCCTATGGCAACTGGGAGTTGCCGTAGACCTGGGATTTGGGGTTGCCGTAGACTTGGGATTTGGGTTTGCTGCCAACTTCCGACAATCCTATGGCAACTGGGAGTTGCCATAGACCTGGGATTTGGGGTTGCCGTAGACCTGGGATTTGGGGTTGCCGTAGACCTGGGATTTGGGGTTGCCATAGATTTGGGACTTGGCTTTGCTGCCAACTTCCGACAATCCTATGGCAACTGGGAGTTGCCATAGACCTGGGATTTGAAATTCAAAAGGCACCTGGCTGCCAACCGTAGGATTCTGAGGTGTAGGCAGCATGTGCCCCAATCCTATGGCAACTCAGAGTTGCCATAGGATTTCCCAGGGTATATGATTTTCTGTATTTCAATATATTGGGATTCCTTCACTGACTATCCCTGCCAAATCCTATGGCAACTGGGAGTTGCCATAGGATTCTGGGTAAGTAGCTTCAGAGTCCAGAATCCTATGGTCTGCAGCCCCTGATTCAATTTGTGAAAACACTGACCCAGAATGTTTTGGTTTGATTTTCTTTTCTTGGAATCTTGGAACACCCTGTGTTCTTTGACTTGTGGTGTCCCCTTGGGCCCGTGTGATGTGTTCATGACCAGTGGCTTTTGTGCTGAACCAGTCATATCATATCGCCTCTGAACATGGCAGCCGGCAGCAGCAGTGAGTTGCCGCCTTGGTGTGAGTATGTCAAAGATCAGATCTTGAAGTTGCATGAGGACAGATTTGGTTTTTGATGGGTGTTAGTTGGTGCTTTTTGGTCCGTGCTGCTACTTTGCATTCTGGATTTGTTGCCCCTTTACTTGGCAGGAAGCCAACAATGACCGTGAGTGCTTGACGCCCAAGATAGCAAGCCTGCCGTTGCCAACGGAGATGTCAGATGTTGTTGAAGAGATTGCCCAGATGTATGCTGTTTTGTCTGGGAAAGAGCCTAGCTGCATTTGGGCTTGAAGTTTTTACCCACTAACCCTTTGTGTTCAATCCTGTGACGGAGTCGTGTTACTGGAGACTTGCTAAGGATGAAGATGTAGCGCTGCAGTGGGCCAAGCTCAAGGTCAATGCTGGCCAGCAGATGGTAGAAGGGGCAGTGGGAGTCACTGTCATTCATCAATGGCGTTGGGACTCAGCTTCCCTCTGGTAGCTTGGACGCATTGATTGTTTGTCAGTTGTCAGTTGTTGCAGTGTCAGTTGTCCTTATTCTGTTTCAGGTCGGGGCACTCTGCCGAAGCTAGAAATCTGATTGGGATTGCGCACTCCATCCTGAGCACTGGATTTCATGTGGAGGAATCTTTGATTTCCCGGGACACTTTGCCTGGAATGTGCCAGTTGAAGTTTGGGCAAGGTATGAAGCGGGCCTCAGTGTCAAGCTTGTGCGCCTGGGCCGAATTCTTCTCAACGCGTGTCATTGCCAAGTACAGTGCTTTTTCATCAATTCCTGACAGCGTTTTTTTGTCAACTGGCTGAGGTGGTGTTTGATGCGCAAGGCTATCCGAGATGGGAAGCTTCAGGCAGATGTCCATGGCCTCTGCATTTTCCAGGGCCTTTGCGCTTTGCCTACCCTGTTTGTCGAACAGGATGATCTCATCAGCCAGGCATTTCGCCAAAATGTGAAATCTGCATATATCTCTCCAGTGAGCAGCCTTCAATGGACGCACATGGTGCTGGTGACGCACTTTGGAGTAGCTGCCACTTGGGCTGATGCTGAGGGTTTTCTCATGTTGTTTTGCCCCTTCAGCCGTTTGTAGCCCCATCATATCAAAATGTTCTTATTGAAAATGGTGGAATTTGATTAGACTGACAAATGTTGCTGTCCAGATATGTCCAGATGTTGTTTGCCACAATGTCTCAGCTTTCATCAGGACAAAGTTGGGACGGACTACTCGCAGATCTTCGCTTGGGATAACCCTGTGGAACGGAGGAGCAACGGCAAGTTGCTTTGCAATGTGCTGGACAGACTCTTGAAAGGCTACGAGACCAAGGTTGATGCAGAGGGGGTCGCAGTTGAACCGCCTTTGGCCAAAAAACGCCGGGGAAGACGTGCTCCATCCAAGAAGGATGACAGCCAGACTTCGCAACCTGCTCCAGATGGCAACCGTTCTGAGATCCGCATTGGCACAGTCAAGGTGACTGCCATCAAGAACCTGCTTATGTGGGTCACTCCGCAGGCTTACAAGATGATGATGCACCATTCCTCTGTTTGTGGAGGGGAGCGCCGTTCGGCCTTCACTGAAGCAGTGTTGGCGTGGCGTCATTTATGGCCAGGGAGCCCCCCAGCAGAGGGTATGATGCCGAATGAGGCTGAGGAATTTGCCAGGCGAGGTGCTGCAGCAATGCAAAAGAAGCTGTTGCCTGATCGGGTCAGGTCGCTTGGCTTTGCGTTGGTGTGTAATTTTATGCAGTTTTTAGTTTTGGTTTTTGGTTTTGTGGGTCTTGTGCATTTTTTTTTTAATCCAGCAAAGCTTCGCTTGTTAGGTCGAAGCCCTTGCAGTTCGGAATGGATTTGACACCAGAAGATCATGAAGCCTTGATCCTGAAAATTGTCAGCGTGTATGAAGGTGAGATGGAAACAAAAGGTGACTTGGCCAAGATCAACGTGGACCAGCTGTGGAGCTACCGCATGGTAGTGCAGGCATGGCGTCAAACAGTGATTCATTGTGCCAAAGCAGACCTTGATGAGCGAAGCTTCCAAGAGGTCCAGAGTGCCATTGAAACCGGCGACGCATTGGACCAGCAGCTCTGCCATTGCTTGAAAAGCTTTCCACTTGAATTTGGCCTCACAATGTTGCCAGATGTGAAGTGTTTGACAGATGCTGGTGAGATGCAAGATGCAGAAGTTGATGATGTCATTGAGAAAGCCGAGAAGGATGAGTGGCAACTTGGCTCAATGCTTACCCAACTGGCATCTTGTTTTTCTTGCTTTTGTTTCTGCATGTTGACATGACTGGTGATTTAGACTCAATACTGTCAATACTCACTTGGTGAATGTAACATGTTGAGCAGCCACTGACGCATGTCAGGATTTCCAAGCTCATCGCCGTGGAGGCGAAATTGAAGTTGGATTGGAAGCTGCTCAACTCAGTGTCAGATGGCTATGAGGTTCTTGGAGATTGCCTGGATTGGCTGTCGACCCAAAAGAAATTGAAAGTTGCACAGCACGCTCGGGACACAGTTGACAGGCACATGAAATTCTTCTGCCCCGTGTTGGCTGTGGAGAACAATGAGAGTTTGCCTGGGGACCTGGAGGGCTTGATGGCTTCCCTGCCGCCGCTGGCTGATCCTGATGGCAAGCGTCTCATGGTTTTCCATTTGGATTTCAACATCCCAAATGCTCCTTGACACAAATGAGTGAATATGTTTGCAAGGATCTTTTCATAAGAGGTCGCTGTCATTGAGCCGTGAATTCCCCAGGCCCGCAATGCTCTGAGTCTCAAAGGGCTTATCCCATCATTGGCCAATTGCTGCCGAACGCAGGGTGTCTTGGCAGTCACATTGTGCGCATTGTGAATGACATTGAAAAGTTTATGATGGCATTTTTCCAGTCAGTCAATGCTTCTTCTTGTTGCAGGTGTGGGCACTACTGTGGTCTTGTGCATCTTTCCAAACCGCAGTCGAGAGGATAGTGAATGTGATCCCATGGAAGACGAAGTGGACATTGTCCGAAAGATGCGTGAGGCTGGATTCAAACGGCAAGTCCCTTTCTTCATGCCTTTGCGTGTGCCCATGGAGGAGTTTCTTGAAAGCAGTCATGAGTGTGTCACGTACTTACGGCAATTGTTGTGAACATTTTCAGTTGAAGTATTCATTCGTTTGTTTGTGAACCTTTTCAGTTGACATGTGACTTGATCTGAGGACCACAAACCAGACGCAATGGGACTTTGGGATGCGGGGACGTCTCATGTTTTGGGGAGGCGACGACTCTGGGCCCAATGTTTTTTTGCAGTGC